GAGTATAGATAATATCCTACTGTGTGCCACAACCCCTGTGGACCCTGGGAAATACACCCAGGACTGGGATTCCCGGGTCAGACAGCAGCAACACCCTTCACTTCCCTCAGCACCCCTGATGGCTTTTCCTGAGGCTCTTCCAGACTGTACTTCCTCCAGCAGGGAGCTCTGGGGGTCCGACAAATGCTGCGTTCAAATCCCACTGGATCGGGTCAAGAGAGGAGTCACCCTTGGCTGGTGGAGAGAAAGATAAAAAACCACCCTCATAGCTAACAGTACAGCAGGTGTCTGTTGAGGGTTCACTGTGTGTCAGGCATTGGGCCAAGCATATCACCCATGTCATCTGCCTTAGTCTTCACCATAACTTGGGGAGGTAGGAGCTATTCATGCCCCCATTTTACAGACGAGGATAGTCTCAGAGGTACGGTGCGACTTGCCCAGAGTCAGCGTAACTGGCCTTGAACACAGGTCTCCTGGTTCCAGAGCCCATGGGCTCTTCTGCTTCCCCAGACTGGCCTGGGGGAGCTGTTCCCAAGCTGGAATAGGACCTGCTTTTTGTCAACATCCCTGTGTTACTCTCTCCTATTGCTGCTGTAACTGAGTACCCCAAACTGACTGGCTGAAAACAATACAAACTTCTTACCTCACATTTTGGAAGACAGAAGTCTCAAATGGGCCTTACAGGGAGGACTAAGATCAAGGGGTCAGCAGGCTGCATTCCTTTCTGGAGAGCCCAGGGGAGAGTCAGGTCTTGTCTTTTTCCAGCTTCTAGAGGCTGCTGCTGTCATCAGCCTGTCGCCCCTTTGACCTTCAAAGCCAGCGGTGGCCAGCCGAGTCTTCCTCACGCCGTATTGCACCCCTCTTTCCTGCCTCTTTCTTCCATCTCTTAAGGACCCTTGGGATGGCTTGGGCCCCTGGAGAATCCAGGATCGTCTTCCCATCTCACAGGCAGCTGATTAACAACCTTAATTCCTCCTCTTATGTAGTCTAACTTATTCACAGGTTCCAGGGATTAGGATTAGGGCATGTGGGTGGGAGCACAGCACTCTGCCTAAACATCTCCCCCAGTGGCGTCCACCTGCCTTAACCAGGCCTGGTGTGGAGTATGGCTTCTATGGGAGAAGTGGGTGCTGGGTGCTGGGCACGGGGAGCAAGCACCTTGGCCTCTGGGCTCTGCTCTTTCTCTGCTAGCCTGGCCCTCCTGCCCTCTACAGCCTAGCGCGGTCAGATAGCTGATACTATCTGGTTGGTTTTGTGCTCTTCATTTTCCTTTAATGAAACTCACCCACCCCCAACACACACACAATCATCAGGACAGCTTTGGTGTGGTCTGACTCCATCCATCCATCCATCCATCCATGCAAGCCACCCTCATCCCTACTGTCTCTCCCTGCTTTGCCCATCTGCCCTCCTGTCCATCATCCTACAGGCAGCAAATGCTGCCCGCTATGCAAGGCTCATCATAATGCCACCTAGTGTCGCCTCAGTGAATGGCACTACTGGAATCCATTCTCTTTCCCCCTTACCACACTCCCCTCCCCAATCAAGTCCTGGCAGCAGTTCCTTCAAAGTCTATCTGGAACACAGCCAGTTCTCCAGTCTCCTCCACTGGTCCAAGCTTTAGTTGACTCTTTTGAGAATGACTGCAGAGAATTCCAGCCTGGTGTGCCCGGCCTGCCTGTAATCTACTCCTGAGGACCCCCCTCCTCCATCCCATGGAGAATGAACCCCAGCCCCCTGTCATGGCTTGCTAGACTCTGTTCCATCTGGTGTCTGCTGACTCCCACACTCAGCTTCTCCCACCTTCCCCTCATTCCCTGCACCCCACCACTTGGCCTTCTTTGGCTTGACCACCCAAGCCCACCCCCAGGTCAAGGAGCAAGCTCTTCCCATTCCCTCAGCGCTAGACACCCTCCTCCAGGGCCTTATAGGGTGGATTCCTTCCCACCCAACCTCAGCCCCGAGGCTCCCTCCTCCTAGAAGCCCTCCTAGACCCTTCCAGCTCATGTTGCCATCATTTTCTTGCTCTCTTTCCTGAAATGATCTATGTACTTACTTAGAGACCACCTTCACCATTGGAATGTCCACTCCTTGAGGACAAGGGCTGGGTCTGTCATGGTCTCTGTCATGCCCATAGACCTGGCACAGGCCCAACGTGTGGAAAATGTTGAATGCCAGCCCAGGACTCCTCATCGTCCTCATCATCCTCAGTATCACAGCCCCCTTCTTGAATAGCTTTCCCTTCCTAAGCATCCATAGACCCTCAGAGACAAAATCACTAAAATCCATCATGCTTTGGACGGACAGACCTAACGCTGTAGAGAAATCTTAAAAGACCAAACTTCTCATGAGGGTATCAGGCTGGGTAGAAAGTGGCATTGCTTTCCAGAAGCAGGATTTGGGGGCCTGTTTGGTTTATGAACTTCACTGGAGACTAGAGTCTAGCATGCAGAGCCATCTCCCTACAGACCCATCAGGCTGGGTATCCCCAAGACCAAAGGCCCAGGAGAAGTGTGCCCATTCCTCCTCATTTAGCAAATCCCAGCATCTAGCCTTCCATGTACAAGCAGCTTGCATGAAGCAAGGTTTTTTTCCTTCTCCATGCCAAACAGTGTGCTGAGACAGGATAACTTTCCACATAGGATGCTGAAGCTTTAACTCACAACTGACATGGGTCATGAGAGAAAGAAATGAGGGATTGCTAATTGGGGGAGCTTTGTGCCAGAGGGAGAGCTGGGAGCTTGAAAGAAGACATTCTGTAAGAGGTGATTACAGCCAAGGGGGTTTCACAAGGGCTCTTTAGGACCTGCAGGACAAGAGGAAGGTTCCTTTTCCTCTGTCGTCATTCTTGCCAAACAGAATGTCACTTTTCCTCTTGTCTTCTGTGACAAAGATGAAACAGGGGAGCTGAAAAGCGGTACCACTAACGTGAAGTGCCTGAAAGGGATTATTCTCACTCCTCCAAGGGAGTCTGGCAGGCTGCGCCTGAGGAGATGGGTTCCAATTTTAGGTGAAGTTCAGAAACGTTCTCAACACTCTAAAATCTAATCATTTTCATTTCAAACACAGGTGTACCTAGTTTTCCAGAACCCAATCTCTGAACCTGTAGCTCTCCCCAAAGATAAATGAGTGGAGCAACGATTTGCTTTCTGTAAAAGAATTTCTGGTAGGAAGGATTCTCTTTCAAATGGAACCTCCCCTGGCTCCTGTTGAACACTTTCGTGTCCACAAAGGTGTGTATGTGCGTGCGTGTGTGCGTGTATGTGCGTTTCCCCTGAGCGTGTGTGTAACACAGATCGACGCTCAGGTATTGGAAATGGGTTTCCATCAGAATTGGTAGACCGCTGGTACCACTTTCTTCCATGGGGGACTGGGCTGGAGGGAGGGCTGGTGATTTTATAAAGCAGAGTATTAGACTCTTACTTCTTTCCTATGGATCAGCCTAATTCTGGACAGCTCTACTGCTATAATCTGGGGCTCTCAAACTCAAATGCCTACGGGAAGCCAGGAAGGAAACATACATGTGAAAGAGAATGGGTACAAGGAAGGTCCCAGGGAACAGGGGGACTGTGGTAGATTGTAACATGTACGCCCTGCCTACAGCGGGCAGTCATTTCTCAGCTGGAATTCAGGCCAAATGTTGCCAAATAGTCTTTTTTTTTTTTTTTTTTTTAAGATTTCTTCATTCATGAGAGACATAGAGGGAGAAGCAGGCTCCCTCTGGGGAGCCCAATGTGGGTCTTGATCCCAGAATGCCAAGATCGTGACCTGAGCCAAAGGCAGGTGCTCAACCACTGAGCCCCCCAGGCGCCCCAATAGTCTGACTTTTCAAGAGAAACCAAGAATATAAATTTTTACACAAAATTCTTCAATTTTCAATATCTTCTCCAAGCCAGGCATATTACGTGTGAACCAAATTCAGCCCATGAGCTATGAATGAATAAGCAGTGTCATTCTAGTAGCACACACCTTTAGTTAGCTGTGAGCACTGGGAAGGGAGGAGCCTGTGTAAGTGGACACTTTGACCTCAGGTTCTCAGAAGTGCCTTCCTCGTGTTGGCCTCATTCCGCAACTACTTCTTTGAGCTCTTACGCTGCTGGACACAGAGATGCAGAGCTGCGTAAAGCCCAGTTCTTGCCCCACAGAGCGAGCAGCCTTATAAAGGAGCCAGGCTTGCACACAGAGTAAGGATAATGCTGCAGGCACAGGGGTGAGAGGACTCACCCCTGGGAGTGAACCAAGGAAGAACCAAGGAGAGGCTTCCTGGAGAAGTGGACGTGCCTGTCCAGCTCACCCCTATAACCTCAAAGTATCACTGTTGTGATACTTAGGCATTTCTTTGGACATTGCCTCTTACTTATGGCCATTGATAATGGGCTTTCCACTTATGGAAGCAATACAAGGTGTCTCTTTAAGGTAAACACAAATAGTAATAATGGACAGCAATGATTGAGTACCTACTGTGTGCCAGGCATTGTGTTACTAAGTGTTCTTAGGCACGGGATTCATTGAATCTTCTCTAATCCTATGAAGTAGGTCAAATGGTTTTACCCACTCTCCAGATGAGGAAATTGAAACAGATCAAGGCTGAGTAGCGTGCCCAGGCCGTGAGGCTCCAGAGTCTGTGCTTGTCCCCACAAGTGCTTGGAAGTCAAGGTTCAGGGTGCCCACGTGGTTGGCTTCTGGTGAGGACTCTTCCTGGCTTGTAGGTGTCTGTCTTCTCGCTGTGTCCTCACCTGGTGGAGAGAGAGGGAGCTCTGGTGTCTCTTCCTCTTCGCACAAGGGTCCTGATGGCTTGGGCTAACCGTAATCACCCCCCACCCCAGGCTCTGCCCCCTAATACTGGCCCACAGGGGTCAGGGCTTCCACAGAGAATCTGGGGGCAGGAGCAGAGGTGGGGGTGACACAGTTCGGTCCCTAACAGCGAGTGTCTGCAGAATCAGCACTGTCGGCCGAGACTCCGGCGTCACTGAGGGTCTGTCCTCCCTTCTCCACCCCAGGCCCAAGGGCGATGTGAAGGCCCAACATGACCCTCCTACCGGGAGACAACTCTGACTACGACTACAGCGCCCTGAGCTGTGCCTCGGACGCCTCCTTCCACCCGGCCTTCTTCCCGCAGGGCCAGTCCCTCAAGGGCGTCTTCTACCGCCGGGCGCAGCGGCTGCGGCCCCGGCCCCCCGACGCACCCCGCCAGGCCGGCCAGCCCGAGGATCGGCGGCGCCAGATCATCATCAACGTGGGCGGCATCAAGTACTCGCTGCCCTGGACCACGCTCGAGGAGTTCCCGCTGACGCGCCTGGGCCAGCTCAAGGCCTGCACCAACTTCGACGACATCCTCAACGTGTGCGATGACTACGACGTGACCTGCAACGAGTTCTTCTTCGACCGCCACCCGGGCGCCTTCGGCACCATCCTGACCTTCCTGCGGGCCGGCAAGCTGCGGCTGCTGCGGGAGATGTGCGCCCTGTCCTTCCAGGAGGAGCTGCTGTACTGGGGCATCGCCGAGGACCGCCTGGACGGCTGCTGCAAGCGCCGCTACCTGCAGAAGATCGAGGAGTTCGCCGACGTGGTGGAGCGGGACGACGACGACGACGAGCCGCTGTCCAGCGAGGACCCGGGCAGCGAGGGCCCGGCCGAGGGCGAGGGTCACCTGGGCCGCTGCATGCGGAGACTGCGCGACATGGTGGAGAGGCCGCACTCGGGGCTGCCCGGCAAGGTGTTCGCCTGCCTCTCGGTGCTCTTCGTCACCGTCACGGCCATCAACCTGTCCATCAGCACCCTGCCCAGCCTGCGGGAGGAGGAGGAGCAGGTAAGAGCCACAGCTGCACGCATGGGGAGGCTCACTGCAGTGAGGGAGGGTCTCTAAGCTCAGGAAACAGAGCAGTCTGCAACCCCCTCCCCAAAATCCACATCCTTCACACAAGCGTGGTCACCTCCACCAGGAGGCCTTCCCTGACTGCGCTGGCCGAGCAGCATCTCCAGTCCCTTTCTGACAGCCTGTTTACATGTGTTGTCCACCTCCACGTTCAGAAACGAGTTCCGTGCCTGTCCTCATCTGCCCGTGCCCCCAGGGTCTAGGACAGTGTCTGCATGGACAAGGCACTTGGCCACTCTGTGGAAGGAACGAATGAGCGAGTACATGAATGATGCGATTTATGGTGTGCCTGCCCTGAGCTAAACACATGTCATCAACCTTTATTTCACCCACATGAGCCCTATCTCAACCTCCCTAATTCCCTCGTTTAAAACCCAGAACCATTTTGTAGGTCCGGCATCTAATTTTTATCGATAGTTATGCGTGCGTGCACTTGTGCTCCGATAGGGAGCATCTCTGTGTTAAACAAGAGAATGCGTGTAGCGTTTGCTCCGTGGCCTGACCGAGGTGTGTGCCCGGTTCTCAGGGGCAGCACGCGGCACGCAGTTAGCAGCAGCCAGTTCTGTCTACAGCTTAGCATTCTCGGTGACTCTTCCAGCAACCCTGTACATGAGGCGTTCTCATACCCAGCTGACAGACGAGAACAGTGAGGCGGGGCAGCTTGCCCAGACCCAGGTCTGACTGAGTCTGAATTCTACATTCTTGTCCCACCTGGCAGCCCAGGACTTCATGTAACCCCACAGAAGTGCGTGACTGGCCCACACTGTGCTCCCTAAAAATTCTACTCGGTTATCAGCATTTCAAAGTGAAGTGTTTTGCATTTAAAAATTCAAACTCTCAGCTTCTCAAAATATATACAGTCCCAGCCCCCTGGCCTGCAGTCCACACAGCAGCTGTGGGTGGCAGCTGAGTCTATGCAAAGTGCGCGTTCCCCCGTCCAGCTTCCTAATGTATGAGATCTCTGGGTTTTTTAATGGGGACCCTCTCCCCCATAGTGGGGAGCAGGGTGGGGAGGTTTCTAGAAGCATGAAAGCATACCAAAACATTTAGGCAAGTACAGATTGTACAGGCAATGGAGAAATAGGTTTGGCTGTGTGAACTCAACACAAACATCGTGCCGGCCAGCATTTATTGAGCACTGGCTGTGTACCCCGCACGTGCTAAGTGCTTCACATGAAGTGTCTGATGGAAAATCGGAACTACTCACGACACAAGGGTTTTTCTGCATAAGGGAGGAGGTAGCGATGGCTTTTGCATTTATAATACATGGGGCGGGGATGTTTCTGGCACTTTTTAATACACTGAATTTTTAAAGCAAATATTAAAAAAATGACACTCAACCAGTAAAATTAATTTTTGATCAGCAGAAGAGGGAGTGATGACAAGGGCAGGGCTAGAGCCCAGTGGCCTGAATTTGAATGCCAGTGCATCCACTCTGGCTGCGCATCTGTAGATCAGTTGCTTAACCTTGCTGTGCCTCAGTTTCCTCACGCATCCAAGGGGGCTGTGCACAGGCTCAACTTCATTGTGTTGAAAGGATTCAGTGAGTGAGTCCAAGGGAAGTGATTGGAATAGTGCCGGGCGCTTGAGCATGCGGGAAGCGCTAACTATAAGGATTACACACACCTGCCAAAGAGAGAGAGAGAGAAAGAATGCTCACCATTTGAGAACTGTCTGGAAGTACCTGCACATGGTATAAATTTTTTCTTGGCTCCAACATATGCAATCCTGATTTTATCAGGAAAATACTCATAAAGCAACTGTTTTATTCAACTTCTGACATTTACTTTTTTTTTTTTAATAATACCTGGACTTTTTCTTGATTCAGTGAAAATGCGGTTCTTTGACTTCATTCTGGAGGCCAGTGGGGTTCCCTGTTTCACTTGCTCCTTGAGCACACATTTGAGCACCTACTGTATTCAGGCATCACCAGGCATGCAGGGGGGCCAGAATGAGAATGCCAGCTACAAGGACTTCAGGTCTGGTGGAGGAGGGAAAGTGACACCCCTGTGACCATAAGTGTGAGACATAAGCCAACGGGGCTGTTAGGAAAGGCCCATCAACTGTGCTGGGGATACTTGGAGGAGGCACACTCCAGGAAGGCTTCCTAGAGGAGAGGGCTTCCTATCCCAGAGGTCTGAGACCTCAGAACCCCACCAAGTACTAGTTCATTTGTCTCCAGTCTCTAACATATTCCTAGAGAGAGAGCTGCTAGTACAGGACTCCTAGAGCCCAGCTGTGCCCAGGAATGACAGATGCCCCGGGCTAAAACCATGTGTGCCTTCCCACTCTGTCACAGGCCCCTTTGAGGTTGAGGCCCTAAGTCACTGGGGACAGTCTACTGTCCACTTCCGTTGCAGACCAGAAACAAGCTGGCAGCCTGCATGCCAAATGCAGTACACAGATGTGTTAGAGTGGTCCACAGAGTGTTTGCTTTGTATTGAATTATCACAACATTTAAAACCCAGGAGATTTCATGCAAAACTCCACATTTCCAGCCTCCAGCCTGAATTGTCCTGGCACGGCAATCAGGAGCCACTTAGCAGGACAGCTGTGCTCTCTGACCGGCCTCCACCCCGCCTGGCCCAGCTTCCTCGGGTTCCCTGTGCCCACCTGGCCTTGAGTTGGCACCCTCATTTAACACCAGTCCCACGGGCTTCCATCCACCCCAGTGACAGACATGAATTTGTCACTTGTCAGGTGCTGGGCTGTTCCAGGTACTGGGGTCCTGAGAGTGGATGATGCACAAGCTACCCCTCCCTGTGGGGCCATGATCTGCTGGGCAGGGGAGGGGGAGGGTGGATACAGATAATCAACATGACCAATAAGTAACTTATAAATCATTTTAAGAGATGATGAGTCCTCTGAACAAATAAAGCAGGAAAGGAAGAATCAGGATAGAGGACAGAGGGAGGGGGGACATTGAACTGAGGGGGTCATGAGCCAGAGGAGGGGAGGGCAGAGCCATGTGGGTGTTGAAGAGGACTCCTGCAGGGGGAGCAGAAAGTCAAGGCCTGACTTGGGGGCACGGGGGTGCGGGGAGGAGCCTGGGGTGTAGGCTGGAGCACAGGAACAAGGCAGGCAGGGGACTGGGAAGTGGGAGAGGCAGCAGCCAGGCCCTGTGCACCCCCGGAGCTATCTCTCTGAGCCGTGGAGGGTGCTGACCAGAGCACACAAGGGACCTGATTCACGCTCTCAGATCCCTCTGGCTGTGTGTGCAAAATGAACTGTAGGGACCAGGGATTCCAGGAAGGAAGTGGCTGCAACTGTCCAGGCAAGAGATGATGGTGGCTGGACCAAGGTGAGGGCAGCGGACACATGAGAAGTGGTTAGATTTCTGGAATCATTTTAAATGAAGAACCGATGGGATTTCCTGAGGACTGTATGAGAGGTGTCAGAATGAGGCCTAGTCTCCCATCCTGAGCAACTGGAAAGGTAGGATTGCTAAGAAGGGAAAGCACTGGTGGGCGGGTGTGCAGGAGAAATCAAGAGCCCGAAAAGGCTAATTGTTTCCACCCCAGAAAAAGAAATGATAATTACCTGGCATGACATGATAAAGGTGTTAGCTTAAGGCTATGGTGGTAATCCTATTGCAATATGTAGATGAATCAAATCAACATGTTGTACACCCAAAACTGACACAATATTGTATGTCAGTTATATCTCAATAAAAAGAATTTTAAAAAGGAATCAGCAGTCCAGTTTGGGATGTGAGACGCCCCTCAGACACCCTGGGGGAGCAGTCCAGGAGGCAGCCCCTTCTGGGGTCTGGAATCCAGGGCCAAGGTCTGGGCTGGGGAGGAAGATGAAGAGTGGTCGTTGTAGGTGCTTCAAGCCCTAGGCCTGGCCAGGGTCCCCGGGGAAGTGAGCTTAGCCGGGGACCGGGTGGGACCAGGGCCAAGCCCGCGGCCTTGCAGGTGGGACCACTGACGTCTCCCCTGACCTCCTTCCCCCCCACCCCCCCGCCTCGCAGGGCCAGTGCTCACAGATGTGCCACAACGTCTTCATTGTGGAGTCGGTGTGCGTGGGCTGGTTCTCCCTCGAGTTCCTCCTGCGGCTCATCCAGGCGCCCAGCAAGTTCGCCTTCCTGCGGAGCCCGCTGACGCTGATCGACATGGTGGCCATCCTGCCCTACTACATCACCCTGCTGGTGGACGGCGCGGCCGCGGGCCGCCGCAAGTCGGGCGCGGGCAACAGCTACCTGGACAAGGTGGGGCTGGTGCTGCGGGTCCTGCGGGCGCTGCGCATCCTGTACGTCATGCGGCTGGCCCGCCACTCACTGGGGCTGCAGACGCTGGGGCTCACGGCCCGTCGCTGCACCCGCGAGTTCGGGCTCCTGCTGCTCTTCCTCTGCGTGGCCATCGCCCTCTTTGCCCCCCTCCTCTACGTCATCGAGAACGAGATGGCCGATAGCCCCGAGTTCACCAGCATCCCCGCCTGCTACTGGTGGGCCGTCATCACCATGACAACTGTGGGCTATGGAGACATGGTCCCCAGGAGCACGCCGGGCCAGGTGGTGGCACTCAGCAGCATCCTCAGTGGCATCCTGCTCATGGCCTTCCCGGTGACCTCCATCTTCCACACCTTCTCCCGCTCCTACCTGGAGCTCAAGCAGGAGCAGGAGAGGGTGATGTTCCGCAGGGCCCAGTTCCTCATCAAGACCAAGTCACAGCTGAGCACCATGTCCCACGACAGTGACATCTTGTTTGGAAGTGCCTCCTCGGACACCAGAGACAACAACTGAACCCAGAGGACGTGCCCCGCTGCCGCCGCCGCCGCCACCACCACCACCGCCACCGCCAGGACACCCCCAGCCCTGCCTGCCCTCCGCGGCTTGAAGCCATCGCCGTCACTACAAGAAGCCTTCAAAGGCACGTGCTGCTCTGAGCGCGGCCCTGGCGCAGGACCCGCGCCAACCACACCCCGAGAAGGAAGGCTGGGACATCCACAGAGGGGTCCCTACCCTCCGCCCCCACAAGTGGGGCAGAAGCCGGTCAAGAGCCCAGCACACACCTATGACAGTCCCCCCCTGCCCCCCCAGCTCCCACATCTGTTTCCCCCCAACAAGGAGATGGCTTTGTCCTTTCCACCATGTAAATAACATGCCCGGCAAAGACTTGCATTATGGGTCCGCCCGGAGGGAAAAAAGACAAATTCCAGCAGCAGCGTGTCTGTGTTTAGCGTGGACCGTGTGCAGTTAAAGCAAAGCGATGAAAAAGGGAGAAGATGCCTTCCGTGGGGCTCTGAAGAGAGGACGCTGCTCTCCAGCAAAGCCAGCCATCGCGGGTACCGGGAGGCCGGGGCCTGTTTCCTTGGCTCGTTCAGGCCTGGCCGGGCCCGGCAGGGTTTGGGGAACAGGGAGAGAACAGATACCTTTGGGGAAATTGCCAGTAAATACTGCATTCTCTCCTGTTTTTCTTTGATTCCTCCTACCTCCTGGCCTCGCTTCCTCCCCTTTCCTTCTCCTCCATCCTCTGTTCTCCTGTTTTGTACCTTCAGGTTCTCAAACCTTTCCCCCAAGGCACCCCAGTGGTTAAGTGGACACGGAGGGGCCCGTCGGCATCGCCGACTATGGAAGTGAAATCGTTTCATTTTATCTTTTAAAAATACTGTGGACTTTCTTCTCTACTCCACGTGTATTGTAACAGTCTAACCAAAAAAAAAAAAGTGATTTAATCACTTACCTGAATCTAAATCTAAATCCAGAGTGGGATTGATGCTTTGGGAAGGTGGGCCGTGGTCCCCCGGGGAGTCTGAGAAGCACTGTCTGGAGCCTGCCGAGGCCTCCCTGTGCCCTCCAGAGGCCTGCAGAGCACCCACCCGGCTGGGTACTGCTCCCGATGTCACATAGCGCGGGTGAAGCCCCCGGCCAGCCAACAGACTGACCTAGTTCGAGGGCATCAGAGCCCCTCAGTGCTTCATCCCCCGGGGACAGCCACAGCCTGGCTTCACCCTCACAGGTACGACAACATTGCTGTCTTCATCCCAAACCCGCTGCTGCCCTGGCCGCGGCCGCTCCCCTGGGCTGACCGCAGGAAGCACGCTCTGACACAGATCTGACCACCTCACTGTCCTCCCTGAGTCCATTGGGGGCCATCCCCTACATTGAGAATAAAACCCTAATGCCCTGAGTGACTCAAGGGCCCTGTCCTCCCTCCAGCCTCCATCCCGCACCTCTCTCTGCTTTGCTCACTGCACCTGGCCACGGGGCCCTCCAGCCCGTTCCCATCTCAGGCCTGTGGATCCCTCTGCCTGGAATGCCCTTCCCGAAGAACCCTGCATGGCTGCCCCTTCCCTCACCTCCCTGACCACCTCTCTAAAGAAGGCACACCAGCACCTCCACCTAACTCCCTCCTACCCTGCTTGATCTTGACCGGCCTGTCCACCTGCCACGTTGTCCCATGTCTTCCCTGCCACTCGATTACTGTCTCTCTCCTGCCCAAGGAGACCAACACTCCTCTCGCGCTGTGAGTCCCTACTGAGTAATGAAGCTCGCTGCTGACTCCCAGCACCTAGCACAGGGCCTGGCACCTGGTAGGTGCTCCCGAAACGTCTGTGGAGTGAATGAATGAAGGGAAACGGGAAAGACGGCCAGAAAGTAGAAACGCCTTTGAGCATGTCATGTCTCTATCTTGGGGGGGGTGGGGAGGCATGGCCATCTCGGCATGGGGTACACACAGTGAGGCAGAGTGGAAATATCACTTGAGTCACGAGGACCTTGTGAAAGCCTCCCCTGACACCTGCTTCCCATGACTCACACCTGAAAAGTAAGTTTTCCGACTAATTATCTCTACTTTCCCCAGCCTGGTGGGTGTCACAGCCAATCAGGCATTGCTGTCATGGTAATAATACCCTAGATTTATGGAATGACCTTTAATTCTGCTCCCCCCCCCCAGAGGCTGTGAGAGACAGGAGATCACTGAAGATGCTAAATAGACAGGAACGTGACACAGAGAGGTATGCAATGGAGCCGTTTAAAACTCAATGGAGTGGATAGCAAATACCATGTGGGGTGGAGAAGCCCCAAATGGGACAGCACCTGGTGGGGGAGGACAGACTCTAGGGTCATAGAGGAAGAGCTGGGGTCTCGCACAGATTCTGATCTGCACTGGTGGCCGAGATAAAGGCCCAGAGTTAGGCACCTCTCCAGACCTCCCCTGAGGGACAGAGGGGCTCCAGACACTGACCTGCACATACAGAGGGAGCTTAGGGTCTTTGGCCCTAATAAGACTTAGGAGGCCTTGGAACTTCTAACCAGCTGCTTCTAGAGTAGAAGTGACCAACTTTACGATGGTGGCTCTTCTACTTTTTTTTTCTGGCAATGTGCAATCTGATGCAGAAAGCCCAACTATAAATCACACTGAAAGATAATGCTTCTCATTGAAGCGTGGAGGCAAATTCACGCTTCCTAGTGGGGCTAGTGGGGCTTCCCTTTTGACCGTGCTACAGGCAACTGGCCCCGTATAGCTGGGAGACGGTATGCGAAAGTCACTGTCCTAGGAGAAACAGGAAAGCAAGCCTTGCCCAATTTGTTTTCTTTCTTAGGTCACATGGTTACCCTCCATCTCCAGCTTAACTCAGAGCTCCTGTAAGACTCACAGCGGGGGTTTGGGAAAGCACATTTAACATACAGATTCTCAGGCCCCACCTCTGAGCAGGTTCAGGACTTCTCGCCTTGAACACAAAATTTAGAAGCCAAGAAAGACTCAGTAATCAAAATCAACCATATTTTAATGCAGTGTTTTGTTTTGTTTTGTTTAATCAAAATTAGGGACATCTGGGTGACTCAGTGGTTGAACGTCTGCCTTCAGCCCAGGGCATGATCCTGGAGTCCCAGGATCTAGTCCCGCATCGGGCTCCGTGCAGGAAGCCTGCTTCTCCCTCTGCCTGTGTCTCTGCCTCTGTATGTGTGTGTGTGTGTGTGTGTGTGTGTGTCTCATGAATAAATAAATAAACTCTTTATAAAAAAATAAAAATAAATAAAAATTAGGGATGCCTGGCTGCCTCAGTTGGTGAAACATGCAACTCTTGATCTTGGGGTTGTAGGTTTGAACTCCACGCTGGCTGTAGAGATTACTTAAAAAAATGAAATATTTAAGAAAGAAAAAAATCAAAATTAAGACCCTAAATCCAGAATGAACAAAATATCAGAATTTTAAGTAAAGACAGGATCTGCCTTTTCACTTAGAGACTTGGCCCCACTTGCCCCGTCACCCACCCCTCTGTTCTGATCCTGCCCCACCCCCTGGCATATCCTGCAAACCAGCTCCAATTAGCCAAGGGTCAGCCTCCCAAGAAGTGCAGGTGGGAGCCTTTAGCACCTGGCACCCACAGCTGCTGGGGCCTGAGCACCCATCCCACCGAGGGGGCTGAGAGCAGGCATGAAGACCATGTCCCACCGCAGAGCAGGGCCCACACAGCAGGCTGTGTGAACTGAAGGCGATCACTTCTGATGTGGGTAAGCACAGAGTGACCTGGCAAGGAGTGACTGGGACCAGCAAGAGGAGAGCAGCCCACCTGAGAAGATCAGGGAAGGGGCCACCTCGCTGACTCAGGGAGAGGAACCTGTGCCTCTCGACCTTGGGGTTGTGAGTTTGAGTCCCACATTGGATGTAGACATTACTTGAATTGTTTAAAAAAAAAAAAAAAGGTCAGGGCAGGACTCTCTAAGGAGGCGGCAATTAAGAGGGGACCTGGAGGAGGGGGGTGGACAGCAATCTAAGCACCGAGGGGACAGCCAGCGCAAAGGCCAAGAGGTGGGGAAGACAGAGACATTCCAGCAGGTGTCGAGGGAGCACGTGGGCATGGAAACACGTCCCTGCTGGGGACACCCTTCCTCCCAAGGAGAAACCTCAGATGCAAAGTAGATGCTCTGAGCAAACATTTCCAGAGAACTGACCCTGAAACAGGCCCTATCACAGCAGCTGGGGACCAAACAGAACAGAACCAGACTTGGTCCCTGCCCCAGAGGTGCTGATAATCTGATGGAGAAAAAGACATGGGAACAAGGTGTTTCCAAACCTATGGAATGAATGACAGGGGTGCGGGCACGGGGGCGGTAGGAGCACGTCAGTCAAAGAAAGCGTGGTTTTCACTCGTTTCCACTTGCTAAAACGGCTCCACGTATGTTTTCCTTCAGAAGCAAATAAAGCGCTCCTCCTAACGCAGGTCCTGTGGCTCCCACTGTCAAAGCTCTCCCCACCCAGGCCTGCCAGCTTATAGCAGGGACCCGTCCACTGGCTCCTCCGGTGGTGCAGCCCTCAGCCTCGCCCCCCTGGGTTGTTGCCAGAGCCTCATCCCCGGTCCCCCTGCTCTCCCGCCTCCCCTCTCACCCCTCCTCCACACGGCAGCGGAGGGGCCCCATGAGAACCCAAGTCAGCTCATGCTCATCCTCTGCTCAAAGCACCCCGCCTCCCGCAACCTGGGGACATCCCACCCCGTGCACAGTACCAGCCAGAGTCTCTCAGCCCTACCTCCCTGAGCAGCTTGGACAGACCAAATCCGGTCCCACCTCAGGGCCTTTGCACTTGCAGTTCCCTCCTCCTGCAAGACTCTTCCCTAGGATATAGCTGTTCGCTCCCTCTCTTCATTCAGTTCTCTGCTCAAATGTCACTTACACAGAGAGACTTACCTGACCTCTTCCCCCAGCCTGTGTAAAGGCCACATTCCCAGAACACCCCCGGCATATTAACTTTGTCTCTTATTGTCTGTATTCTGATGCTTTGATATCTGAGGACTCGCAGACAGTAGGGGGACTGCCCCTCCCAGGATTAACCATTTCCCAGAGATGACGAGCAATGCACCCACAAATGTGCTCTTCACATACAAAGCAATCCAGAGCCCACACCGAACCACCTCCTTTTTTCAGGCTCTCACGCACTAGGATGCTCTCCACCTGCACTAATCACCCGGGGTCAGATACCAGAGAGCCAGGAGCAGCCCTCATGCCCGGAGCCGCTGAAATCATTCAACTAGACAATCCTAAGCCTGCTTGCCCGGCTTCACCTCTTCCTTCCCTCAGAGATCACAACAAAACCTCTTGCCACGGATCTCCCCACTGCCACCTCTGTCTCTGACCAGCCCTGGGCCCCCCAATTTTGTGGTGTGCCCCCTCTTCTTGGGAACTGTATGACAAACTAGCTTTTTTTTTTTAAGATTTTATTTATTTATCCATAAGAGACACAGAGAGAGAAAGGCAGAGACACAGGCAGAGGGAGAAGCAGGCTCCATGCAGGGAGCCCAAAGGCAAGACTCGATCCCGGGACTCCAGGATCACGCCCTGGGCCAAAAGCAGATGCTGACCCACCCAGGCGTCCCCAAACTAGCTTTTTAATGGCAGGTTCTTCTGATCTTTTGGCCTCGCCATACCTGAATGATAATAAAATCTATGTTCTAAGGCACCCAGCCCCCTTACCCTGCTTCATCCTTCTCCAAAACCCTTATTATCATCTAACATGTTGTGTATTTATTTACTCGTGGTCTTTTTTTTCTCCACTAGATATTCAGTTCCATAAGGGCAGGGACTTTCACAGGAGTATCCCTGGTCTAGGACATCAGCTGGTACATAGTAGATGCTCAATAAATATTTGCTGGGTCAACGAATCCATGAATCCCTCACTTCTACACGGAGTTCTACAAAATATATGCACATATTGGGCATATCTGTTCATGCACATGGTGACATGAATCTCATTAAAATCTATTCCTATGAATTGACACCACATTTATGGCAGGCAGAAAACCTGCACCCTCCACTTCCAGGTCACCTGATGGTTTCTGCTTGGAAACAAAGTGTACTGTGTGAGTTTAGTCTTCCACCAACATCCTTATATTTCAGATTAAACGTATGAAAACATACTGTGGGATTTTGTTTGCAACCGTAAAACGGAGGCTGAAGGATTTTTTTCATTTCCTTTTCTGGAACGAATGTGCCACGTATGCAAAGGACCCATAAAATCCAAATAAATGAATTTCTTGAATAAATTTAAAGCCATCAACTGGCCTTGCTTTCAGAAATAAGGAGGGGTGGGGGGAATGTAATAGGACTAGATCCTAGGTCTCAGTTACTGGTTATTAGGTTATTATTATATACACATGGGACCCAAGAAAAAGTAATTAGAATCATTCTGTAAATGACAAGTGCATTTAATAGGCGGCCAGAATTGCTGCTAAATGGACAGAAACTGTTCCTCCGTGAAGTCGATTAAATAGGAACTGCCTCCTCACCTTAGAAGCTCAGAGGTCTTTTGCAATTGGCATAAAAATTACTCAGCAGCGACAGTCAATCACGGTATCTGGGGACAGTTGTGGGAAAGAGAGGAGAGCCTGCAGAAAAGAAGCGGTATCTTTCTCTATTCTCTTGCCCTCTACTATTCAATTTTATCCCGTCAGGGGCTGCTGGGCTATGTTTCAAAGGAGAATAAATCGGGAGGCCTCCCCCCAAAAGCACATCCCCAAATGCTGAAACTAATGGTCTGCTAGCAAGGACTCAGAGTGGGCCCTCCAGCCTCCTCCTCGTGCATAAAGCAAGAGCATGCGCCCTTCCCATGAATTGCAGGGCAGGGTAGGGTCTGGGACAGTTAGGAGGGGACAGGGTCTAACATATTTGCCTGCAGCAACCACAGAATGATCTAGAGGGGAAACGACACCACTTGTGTCTGTGATTGATTGGAAGCAGACCCTGCTGGTTGCCTACGTGAAAGCCATTCCCCCAGCTTTCCCACCAGGAGGTCGGGTGTTTGCCCTGTCCCAGGGTTCATGCCAACCGTGGTCATCCCATCCCATCACGTGAGTCCTGGGGGTGGGCACACGACCAGCCCCGGCCAACGGCACCCCAGAAGAAGCAGGCCTGAGGTTGCCGCAGCTGTCTTTCCTCTGATGAGAGAAAGCCCTGCTCTCCTCTTCCCTCCCTTCTGTCCTGGATGCTGTTGAACGGGGTCATGGGACAAAGATGCTGTGGGGGCCCAGCCCCAGCTTCTGTGTGCCGTCATGCTTCGTGGCTGCCTCCTCTCCAGGGAATCGCAGCATGCAGAGAGGTCACCCAGGCAGCTCACAGCCAGCGACCGGGCGGACCCAGGCATGCAAGTCCTCGGGGAGAACGTGTCCCGTGTTGGGGTGCGTGGCGTGCACCCCAGCTCCCCATGGGGTCAGGCTGAAACCCAGCTCCAGTTGAAACCACATCTTCACTTGTCCTCCTCCCCACCCAGTCCTGCTTCCCTCCTGCCCCCTGGTGTGCTTGGAGAGCACACCTGGAAAATCACAGCACCTCACTCCCAATCTCAGCCCATGGCTTCTGCAGCTCGGGAGCCCAAGCTCAGACAGTGGGTGCCGGAGCTGGGTGGCCACGCTCAGGACAGTGGGCTGGAGGAAGGAAACCCAGCCTGTGAAGAAGGTGGGGCTGAAAATCGCAAAGAACCTGCAGGACCCACGCAAGCGATGCCTATCCCCAAACAATAAAGGTCTTTCTGGTTTAAGTTACTGCTACTGGGATAACAACTCCTGGTTTGTCCAGCCCCGGGGGCGGTTCCTGGGATGCCGTGTTCAATTCTGACCCCGGGAAAGCTCCCGGAAAACCCAGATAATTCGGTCACCCTAGTGCTCGTCAGGCATTCTCTGCTTGCAGCCAGAAGCATATCCAGTGGATGTGATGCTCATCCCCATTTTATAGTTGAAGACACTGAGACACGAGAGGGAAAATGATGTGTATGTGATCACACAGCCAGTTAGTGGCAGAGCTGGGATTAGCGATCACGAATTTACAGCCACTATTCCAGACCTCTTTCTAAAATACCCATTTCAATGAGGAGGAACTATACGACCCCAGCACAACACCACCTGCCAACGTTAGTGGACACCTGTAGTTCTTCTCCCCACCAGCACCTGGCAATGGCCACTGAGACACTCTAGCTGCACATCCAACATCCACA